AAAAACCGCACTTCCCGATCGCCCAACGGTTGACTGTGAGCGCCGGCACTTTATTCAATACGGTCGGGATACTTTTAAAACCAAAGAGCCCGGTGCTGCTCAAAAGGCAGCTGCTGTGTGCAGCCGCATCAGGAGTTAGACTTAATGCCCTACTCCCTGTACCTTCCGGCCAAGCCGGATCCCTACAGGTCAGACTATTGAGTCATTGGCTGTGAAAAGGGAAAAATTGTTCAGCTGTAACACCCTTTCGGTGCCATGCCATCCGAAGGTTGCCAGAGGGCTGGGATACTGCCAGGTTGCCCAAGCCTAGACAGGGGAGTCGAGAGGCAGAGGTCGGCTTCGAACCACGAACCTTCCGGTCAGTAAATTCGCGCTCTAACCACTCGCGCCGTCTCACCCCCAATATTTCTAACCATTGATGTGTCCCGTCTCGGAGTCTCCATCCAGGGAGACAGTAATAACCTCAGCGCAGATGAGTTTACTGGTCAAGGCTTTTATACATCACTGCCAAGTCATATTTGACCTCATCTGGCTCGTTTCCACGCTTTACGTGGCTGTCCGGAAAGGCCTCGACAAAGCTGTCACCCTGTGCTGGTGGTGATCCTGCGGGTTGCACTGCCTGAAACTCAGTTCCTAAAGGTCCCACCATGCCAGAAAGGGCAACGGGAAGCAGCTCGACGAACAACAGCGGGTCAGCGTACTGCGAGTAATCGCATTACGTGGTAGCCTGGAGGTAAAGTCAACCTATCCTCTGCGACAAGAGTGTGAAGACAGTAAGATGTTTCCCCCAGGCGACCAGCACGTCCATATTCATGGAAGCTGCGAGGCTGCTTTCCACCGAGAAAGGATGGGTTAGAAAACGTCGACCCCAAAAACCGCACTTCCCGATCGCCCAACGGTTGACTGTGAGCGCCGGCACTTTATTCAATACGGTCGGGATACTTTTAAAACCAAAGAGCCCGGTGCTGCTCAAAAGGCAGCTGCTGTGTGCAGCCGCATCAGGAGTCAGACTTAATGCCCTACTCCCTGTACCTTCCGGCCAAGCCGGATCCCTACAGGTCAGACTATTGAGTCATTGGCTGTGAAAAGGGAAAAAGAAATTGTTCAGCTGTAACACCCTTTCGGTGCCATGCCATCCGAAGGTTGCCAGAGGGCTGGGATACTGCCAGGTTGCCCAAGCCTAGACAGGGGAAGTCGAGAGGTAGAGGTCGGGTTCAAACCACAGACCTTCCAGTCACAAAATTCGCGCTCCAACCACTTGAGCCATATCGCCCCTGCGGAAAGGGTCCCAAAAGAAAGCCCTCAAGACTGCTACCTCGCTGTTCAGACTTTTGAGTCGGAGGCTAGGGGTAGGGCCCAGAACTAACCCCTACATCCTCCCACTGCCTTGTGTGTCAGACTTTTGAGTCAAAGGATCAAGG